AAGAGGAATTGGCCGTCGTCTTCTGGTGGAACCGAGCTTCGAATCTCTTCACCCAACACTTCTACTCGAAATGGAAGTAATCCCAACAATGTCGAAACTGCAGTCCACCGGTGCCTGGATGAGAACAACTTTTGAGAAAGCAAGTCTATGTGAAATTCGCTAGCAACATCAGCTCTACTCATATGATTGTGGCAAAATGCAGCTACTAATCCTACATCATCTTAAACCAAAAAGGATGAATACTTCGCACATAATCTTCTTCATATTCGCGAGAGCATGCCCAACTGCCAAGGGGTACAGTGGCATGCGAATCTGGCAGTTGACAGTCACGATTTGGCGACCGGCAAACCAACTGTCCGGCTGTCTCTCGCTTTCGGCCCATCACCGTCTCTTTTCGCCCATAACCCGAGTCCCGGACCAGGCTATGTGGTCTCGCCACCTGTTTCAGTGGGTCTGTTCAAGATGACCACTTGTGAGGTCCGAGACAGCCGTGGCCACAGGCTCACATCGCCAGACCAGCGGGTCACTAAGCCCGATAGGATACAATGAGGGAGGAGAAGGAGGAAGAGGAGAGAGAGAACGAGTGGATCCGCTAAGTGGACGTGGGAACAGGTGATAGTGAGACGTGTTTCTGGCCTACAACACCACGGCTGTCTACACGAAGCCGAATTGTCAAGTGTTGTTACGAGGCTAAAGGCGAAACTGGCCGGACAAGAGGGGGGTGCTGCGCACTTCGAGGAGGTCAGGAAAGAATTACGACTAACACGATGGCCTCGAGATGAGGCGAGCTTTGAGTGCCAGGTCATTGGCACACCAGAACAGCATCAAGTCACTCTTTACCTGAACCGCTGCGCTGGAATGTCGACAAGTCATCGTCTTTGTGCGTGTGTTTACATGTGTCCTTGGAGTGGGCAAATAGACAGTCATGGCTGCTGGGTTGGCTATTCAGCATAACTGCAACTCCTCTTTTGTGCTTGGAGGTGGCAAGGGGGAGGGCGGGGGGACAGATAAAGATGCGGTCGAGTTGATAAGCAACGAGGCTGTGAAAGGAGAAGGAAATTGAGATGAATGTTGAGTGGATTTTTGTTCGAATTTCTATCAACTTCTCAAATAAAAAAGAATAAATATCATCTCAAGACTGTTCGTTATAATCGATAATAATCGTCTTCCTCACAGTCTGGCCTTCAATCTACATCAGCAAATGAGATGATGTAGTCATAGTGTGGTTGTTTCGACAAAGAAGCGAAATGGCTGAAGGATCTTTGAGCACGAGGGACCAAGGGGAACAGACATCGATATCGAGGGGGCTGTAATAGTGAGAATGAAACTGATAAACAATTCAATATGCAATCGTCAAAATCGATATGCAGGCAGATGCAAAAGCGCCAGAGTTTACCAGTTAAGCAGAGAGAAAGCATAAGAAAAACGCGGAGAAAAGTTGGGTTTCGAAGAGTTGCTTGTTTCATAATTATTGAGATCACTTGCATTTCACGCGAAAGTATTTGGTGAAGAGATTCCAAGATCGAGCCCACAAGAAAACGAGGCCGGATTCCTCTTGACCGGCTGTCGATCGGCTTAACTGGAACATTCTTGCTGAAGCTGTTTCCGAGGTGATCTCGTTCGATTCCGGTGAAAATGCGCTAAGCTTTCGTCCGTCCTCTGACGAACATCATCGGAGCGGGGTATCATTCTTACAAACAAATTCAAGCTCAAAAAGCATTTTAGAAAAGAGCCAATGAGTTTTCTTGACTCGTTATCTTGAAGATGGTTGTCAGAATGATACCCTGCTCCGAGGATGTTCGTCAAACGGATCGAAGGAGGCTGCCTTGGAAACAGTGTCTCAACAAAAATGTTCCAGTAAATCCAATCGACAGCTGGTCAAGACGAATCCGACGGAGGTCGTCTTCTGGTTAGATCGACCTTGGAATCTCTTCATCAGACACTTTCACTTGAAATGGAAGTAAACTGAACAATAAGAAAAATGTACATTCATTGTATTGGAAAATTGTTCAA